GATTGCGCATTCAAGCAGATGTACAATTCATGAAGGATTTACATTGGAGGTGGGAGTGAGGTGGGATCAAAGCTCTTTTAGCCCAAGGACTGAACTAAATACTGGAGAAGGTCTCAGGGGCCTGTGTTTGTGGTCGATGGTGATAGAGGCAAAAGGGCTGAACTTAGGGTGTGCTCTCTCTGTGTCTGTATCTATTAAACTTAAAGTTCTTACTGCACCAGTAACTAAGTCTTAGGAAAGACATATCCAGCTTTCAGAATGGGAGAAAAACTGTGGAAAAGCCAAGAAACAACCAAACAATTGGTAGTTGGGGGAAAAGAAGCAGGGCATAGGGAAGGGTGTGTGGCTGAGGAAGCCCACAGGACTAAACTGGGACCTTGGGTGGGCCAGACTTGACCCACATGTCTGAGGTTCAACATCGCTGGGTTGTATCCAGTTACTCTATTTCACTGCCTGTTTCTGAGAATACACACTATTCAAATTGTCCCTGTAATTCTAAGCTATGTCTTACTCAGGTGATTCTTTCTCTCCACTGCCTCATATTCTTCTAGCTGGCATCACTCTGTGGAAGCCACATTATTCAGCTTGGCTTGGCTTTATCTATAGAATAACATTTTTGGCAATTAAAAGTGAAAGATTTTTAAGTAACTCCTTTCTCATTGCTTTCATTAGCAGACTAAAATAAATGTTACATTATCCCAATGATTATGATATTTCGAGTCTGTTTAAGTTAAATTGGATCTTTTTTCTTAATATTTGAACTATTATCTTAAACACATGCCGGAATGAAGATGTATAGATTATTTACATTGATGCCATCAGTCCTGAACTCTTTCATAGGTTACATCTTCAATTTAGTTCCAAGGGTCGAATGCAACAGAATACATCTGTCAATGGCATATCATATCATCTGTTAGTGGAAGGAACTCCCTCTCCCCCTTGCAGCTGTACCACCTCCCAAAATATGCTCCAGAGGGTTGCAGACCCTGCAGAAAGATTTTAGTGGGAGGGGAAAAGTGAAAGGTCTGCTGTATGATTAGGCATCGATCCTCACAGCGTTGACTTTAAACTTGCATTAATTCAGTGATCAGTGCAGTGGTTCATTAATATAACTGAATGAGCAACATGTTCTTTCCTGATACCATACACTGATATTCTCATCTGCATGTAGGAATGCAACACAAAATGAAATGCACATTTGTTTTGGTATTACATGGTGGAAGTGGTGTGTAAAGACTGCTCTGTCTGCAAGAGACCAATTTTTTGTTGTCCAACTCTGAATGCTGTTATTAATATTCACCAAAACATGACATTTTGAAGGAACATTTTATCACAATGGAAGTTCAAAGATAGAACTATAGCTTGTTTTGTATATGCCTGCACTGAAGTAGAAAAAGCAGAGGATGGTGGTGGTGCTACATTCAGACATGACCTTCTGGGGTTCATAACTCAATCATCAAAAATTAAAAGAAACCTCAAAAGCAGAAGCCAATGAATAAAACTACCCTATAATTAATTATATAGTTCTCTAATTAAACTTTATTTTGAAATGAATATGATCTGGCTCTGGTCTGACAATACCAGTCTGCAGTAAGGAATACCTAGAGCCATGGCTATGACAAAGCTCACTTGCATACAGACAGCTATAAAATCTAGTGTGTTTTTGCACTATGTCTTCCGAGTACTTTAATAATCTCAAGTATAATTTGGAGGTAAGAACTTATTCACCTGGAGAGGGAGGGAGGCTTTTTTTCCTGACAAAACACACATGCCAGTGCACTGAAGAGCTTTATGACATTTTACCTGTCTCCTTGTACATAAAGGTAATTTCTTATACTCCCTTATGCAGGTGAGGTCAGGCCAAACACTTCATGATGGCTCTGCATTTTTCCTTAAACTTCTATCCTTCTGATTCTCCAGGCCACTCTTAGCCACACCCTGCTTGGATTACTGCAACATCTCACATGCGCTGCTCTCTTTGAAGGCACTTCAGAAACATCGATGAGTGCAGAACAGTAACTGCCAGGATTTCAGCTGGTACAGTTCACTCATATTATACTCCAAAAGAGCTTTAGTGGTTGCCTGTTAATTTCCATGCCCAAGTCAAAGTGTTGCTCTTTAGCCCCACAAGCTTCCCAGATGGCCATGCCCCTTTCCCTCAGGCATGAACTCTGATAGTTTCCTGGGTGTTATGCAGATTTCTCCTACCCTAAAAGGTTGAAGTGGCTTAGTTAATGGCAGTAACCTTTTAAAACTGCAACATTTTGGTATATTTTGTATTTTTGGATCTACCTGTTTTGCCTTTGGCCCCCGCTCTTTCTCTTTGGCCCTGCCCATCACTGGAATTTGGATCTTGAGAGTTCCTTTGAAATTGAATTGAAAGAGGTTTCCTACCCCTGCCTTACACAGAGAGGTTCACCAAGCATCTTTTTGATGCCCATGTGAAATCTTTTCTATTTACTCAGGCATTTAAAATATTGTACCTTGGTTTTTGTCAGCTGCCACAATGTTACATACTTATTTAATCTGGGTTGCGTATTAATTGCTGTATTAAAATAAAATGTCCAGAGATGTTTTCATGGATATCTATGCATTGTAAAAATATATAAAGCAAAAGTTTGCCCTATGTTATCTTCACAACAACCTTGTGAAGCAAATTAGCCTGACTGGATTTCCCCTAGCCAAGTATGACATCTGGTATTCATAACACACGTCCATGAAAACAAACACCTGTGCACCACTGATTGTATGTTCTTTGTTCTATATTTTGTGAGTGTGTGTGTGCGGAAGAATGTAACAGAAGAACAAAAAATGGGCAAGTAACAGTGTGACCTCTGTGTGGCTACTCAGAAATAATCCTGCTGTATTCAATGGTGCTTACTTCCAGAAAAATGTGTATAGGAAGTCATGGGACCACCAGCTTTTCCATTTACATCTATCAGGTTCTACCCTGAAAGTATCTCCCTATAAATATATGGCTGAACAAACTACTAGGTGCTTCTCCTTGCCACTTGGAGAATGACTCAAATTAAACAGATCGGGAAGACCCAGGGCCAATCCACAGCAGCCATATTTACTGGCATGGCAAAGCCGGACTCACTGTCCTGTCACATGCTCACCCCAACCCAGCCTCCTCATGCTATTTCTGCCATCATGTCCTATATTTCCTCAGTCCAATTATAGCACAATTCTTTTCTGTGTTGCAGGTTTTCCACAGTGTGTATGCTGTTCTGGGGCTAGGAAAGTGGCTTCTGAGGACTGGTGAACTGGGGAAGGAAGTGGCCCACCAGGGCTTTGGCAAAACAGCAGCCAATTGTTGCCTTCCCACCTCCTTTTCCCCTTACCCAGAGCTTCTCTCTCTGGCGTGCCAGTGAACTGGAGAGTAAATACAATTCAGCTTCCACCCTTTCCTCACCCTTGAAAAATAGAATTTGCAATGCCTTTTCAAGCCTGAAAACACAAGTGTACTTAGAAGTAGCTTATTATCTTCAATGGTCTTACTCACAAGTAGATCACATTGACCCAAATGGCACTAACTGCCATTGCAGAGGTGAGAACCTGTACTTGCCTTGCAGAAATTGCTTTTGGGTAGATGAGAGAAGAGGGGTGCTGATTCCTTTGCCTTCACCCCAAGGAGGTGTAAGGACAGCAGCAAATGGCACCATGGTTCTTATTCACTTCTTTCCCCACCCCTTCTATTTCACCAGGACTTTTTGTGAGGGGGCAGGAAGAGCTATTAACTCATTTTCTCCTTAAAAAAGATCTGCTCCTTTACACATGCACACCAGCACATAACGAACTGAGCTAAGGAGCAAAAAACAAATGAACATTAAAAGGCCATTTCTTTTCCAACTCTTCCCACCTCTCTTGCAGTGGTGTGCAACACAAAGCATATCCTGAGAAACTGCACCAAATTAATTAGCAAGAGTTCATTCAATGTCTGTAATGGGTTCATTTTGCATAAATACTGGGATTATGTTTCCTCATAAAGAGAAGGGGCTCTAGTGTAGATCTCTTCTCTGGTCAAGTAAGTGCTCCCTCAAAGAAACACCGTCTGCTGGAAAACTGTACAGCCCAAATGCCTTTTGCAGACTGCAGTGTTGTGTGTAGTGTGCTTTATTGCTGCAATTCAATGTTGACCATGATGCAGAATTGGAAAGAGTCTTGCACAGGTTAGTGAATGAGTTACATAAGGACAGAACCTGACAATAAGAGATATTGATAAATACTAGCCACTGTTGATAGAAGATTGTCTCAATTTATTTATTTTCATATATTTACAGGCCGTCTATAATTGCCAAGGCCTTCCTAGGTGGCTTACAATGCAAAACATATTAACAGAGTAAAAACACATTAAAAACCAATTTAAAAGGGCCACAGCATACAGACTAAACATTTTAAAATTTCCTTAAAAGATATCCTAATTTAGTCCTGCTTCAGGGTCCTCCAGGTATCTACAGATTCAAAGTCACTATCAAGCTAGCTAGCAGAATCGTATGGGCACTAATGTGGGAGCAATCAATTTTATCTTTAGAGCAAAGTTCTAGTACAGCTTGTCCCTGTGGAAATAAATGACTCTGTGCTGTGCTCTGTTTGAGAATGAGAAAAATATTGTGCCCTAGTTGGACTCATCTCATAAGGCCACAAAGTTGGTCTACTCATTGATATAATTCTGTATACATCTATTTCCTATATCCTCAAAGCCTAAATAGCAGCTATTAAATGTGTGCTAAATTGAAGATTTTAAACTATACGAAATGCAAGTTGGTTGTTAATTGAGTTTACTAAGGGAACACAGTTTAATAAAATACAAGCACACATTTGCACGATGCATTGACCCATCCTTCAAAAGCATAATTTCCTGTGTGTCAAAAATACCATGAACCTGGAACTCTTATGACATTCCTGAACTAAAATAGTTGAAGGCAAATTTTTGTATTGTCTACAGTTTTTCACATCAAATAATCATGATGAGCACAATGGCAGTCAACACACACCACTTAGTATTACATTTTTTATTAGTTTTGAGTTTTGCTATGCACATAAAGTAGGGGATTGGGAACGCTCCTTAATTTTATTAAATTGCAAAACATGGCAATGTGGGAACATGCAATTTCCCCCATGTTCTAGCAGCACCCATTCTTTTTGCTTGGGTTGGCAGGCAGGTTGGGAAATAGAAATGACGTGGCAGAGGAGCTAATTTTCCACATTGCTGTTTTTGTGCGGCCAAAGTCTCTCTTTTTTTCTGTCTGTCTTCCTCTTCCTCCCCCTCCTCCTCCTCCTGGATAGATTTATTCATCGCATTCTTTAGCAAGCACACACATACTACATTTTTGTCAATTACTTTCACCTTTTGGACACCCGCAAACTAAAAACAGAAATTGTAATGAGTAAAAGTATTCCTTCAAAAACAGAAACTCATTCTTGTCAAAATTCCCATCTATAAATATCTCTGGAAAGGACAGGAAAGTTTAGATTGGCTGGGTAGTTTGAGTGCCCTGCTGGAGTGCCAGCCTTTAGTGGTACAACAAGAAGTCTGGTTGCATAGGGGGGTGTGTAACAGCCTATTGAGAGTTTAATCAACCATCCTTTGCCAGTGAAAGCACCTTTCCCTACAGAGCAAGCGCTTACGCCACGGGTCTGCTGGCATGTTGGGGAAGTGTCAAGCCAATCTGATTGGATCAGCTGCAGAACATTCATTCCATGGCGGTGGCTTGCACCAATAAGGGAGCCGTCCCAGGAGGCCCCACTCTGCAACTAGGAGTGATCCTGCACCATTGAGAAGGAGGGTTTTCCACAGGGAGAAAACTGCAATGACAGAGAATCAGAATGATGACTGTGAAGTTCTGCAGGTGGTTTTAGTACTCAGAATACAATTCTGAATCCTTGAACTCTTCATGTAAACATTTAGCATCTTAAGCAAAATAATTACTTGGTTTATTGCTGGAGGCAGTGTGGGCAACAGCGCTGATCTAGAGAACTTGACTTTATTTCTAAAAGGGAGTGGGAACAGGTTCTAGCTGGTCTTGCTGCCATTGTTCTATTTATTATTTATTTATTTATTTATTTGGAGTGCTTGTATGCTGCCCCATTCACATAAGCCTCGGGGTGGCTTTCTACAGCTTGTCAAAACAAAGGCGTCAAACCTCAAGTAGCTCAATGATCTGAAAATACCTAGCTATGCTTGTTGATACTGCAGGAGCCACAGAGAAACCTGATCATAAATCTAGCATCCCTTACTTGATCACACTGATATATTTCCTTTTGTGATTGTTAGATCACTACCTAAGTCTAGACTTAGACTTAGATGCAGAGCAGCCACAAAACATTGTAGGGTTGGGGAACTTATTTGAATAGGTAGCTGGGGCACTCATTGCCTAACAGGCCAGGAAGAATTACCTAAGGATGGATGTGCTGGTTCTGTGGATTACCTGACCACTCTCTGAAATGGGGAGATATTTTGGGTTATTGACATGGTATCCTGCTTGGTTTCTGTGTGTTTCAGGATCAGGTCTGACTGTGTCTATGGTCAGAATCCAACAGGATGTTCCCACTAGTTCTCTTACATCCTGCCAATTCTTTGTACAAATGGCTCCACCACTGGCATGACACATAAAAGGGCTCCACCAGCCGGCCTTGCTCCAGAAAGGTGCGGAAGCTCTTTTCAGGGCTTCCTTTAGGAAGTACTATATCTCTCTTACATAAGTGGTGGGTCCAGCTGTGCCGCAGAATCTACGAGACCTGCCACTTTGCAGAGGGGCATTGGTGGGGAGATAAGCATCCCACTGGAATTTGCCGTTCCTTTTGTACTTTTTTGTCATGCCTGCATGGCTACTTTGATGCTTGCAACATAGACAGGCCTTGGAGAAGCATGACCGCAGCCCGCATGCTCAGCCCTTGCCTATCCAGGCTTATGAAATCTGAGTGGGCCGAGTGAGACCATCAACATCTCATTTGGGGAAGTGGCCCTGAAGAAGGCTATTGTGGAAGCACTTCTGGAGAATCCGTGATTGGACTCCCCAAACTAGAATGAATGGCAGCCAGGCTATAGCATTCCATATTTCAACATGTGGCCTGGAGCAGCCCAACTCCAGGGCCTAGGATCATCCAGACTGGACTAGTGTAACGTATTCTAGATGGGGCTGCCTTTGAAGACTGCTTGTAAACTTCAGCCTGCTCAAAATGCTGCTGGAGTACTACCTGGCGCTAAATAATGACTGTAATCCTGTTCCTTCATTACCAGTTGCCAAATTGTTTTTGAATTGGGTTCAGTTCAAAGTGCTGCTTCTTGGATCGTGGGTTGTTCTTTATCCCTCTGCCATCTAAGCTGGGATGTTTAGGGGTCTTTTGGATTTTGTCAAAATCTTTTGGTTTTGAGGTCAGAGCTATGGAATGCCTTCCAGGGGTAGGACTATTTTGGTGCTGATGTCACGATTTTGATGTCACTTCTGGTGTAGGGTAGGTGGGATCTACCTAAAGAAGTCCCTGCTTACCTTCTCAGGGGCAGTGAAAATTCAGTTATTTCAGACTGCCTTTAGAACTAGTTGACCAATTTAATGCTTTCCAAGCTGCTGGATTATTAGTTTGCCTGCCTTGTTTAATTATTGTATAATTTTGCAGGAGGTTAAACATGATTTTTGGTGTGCCGTGTTTTGTATTGTTTATATAATTATTGTTAGCTATCTTGGGATTCTTTGTGGCAGAAAAGTAGGGTAAAAATAATTTTAAGAAATGCTTTTTTTAAAAGGCTGCATTAAAAAATTAATCCATCAGACAGAACCTATAAGTCTTCATCTCGTAGTCAGGCAGTATCTTTATTATGACTAAGGGAGATGTCACAAAGGAACGAGCAAGCCAAGCTCCCTAATTCTCCAGAACATGTAATCTGGCTGGATGTTAAGAAAGGCTAATTGTGGAGAGGTGGCTTGATGTTATAGCCAAAAAGTTTGCATTTGGTCATGGTCTTAAGATAGGGAGTAAGAGGAGAGCTGGAGAACCTGAAAACTTTTCCATTAGAGGATGACATCTTCACTGGCCCTAACAAAGACATTTCTTCCTGGCTCTCTAAACGTAACTAGCCACAGCTGTGGGTAATCCTACTATTGCAAGTGGATGAGCTGTGCCTCTCAGCCTGCTGAAGAGGTGGTCCACCTGCATGGGATGCATGTCTCGCCCCAAGTCTTATATTCAGCAATCTTGTGATAGACCAGAATCCCTGGCTTTTGTGAAATCTTTCACCCTACTAAGGCTCTCCACAATTTCACCTCTGCAACTGGCATCATGGTGGGTGATGGGGAGAGAATTCTCTTTTTTCTGCTTTCCTCCCAACACAGAACCTATGTGTTTTGTTAAATCTGAATAACTGTTGAATTTCCTGTTTTCCAAAACAAGACCCAGCTATTGCAGGTTCATTTCCCCAATACATCTAGGTGTAAACTGAAACCTGTAGAGTACATAGCTGAGCCTAATCCAGTTACGGATGTAAATCTGTGCACCCTTTCCTGGGAGTAAGCCCCTTTGAAATAGCCAGCTTTGCTCCCAAGCCCTATTCTTGCCCTCTACTTTATTTTAAACCAGCTTAAAATAAATAAAATCAAATAAACGTCTCTCCTCTCACCACCCTTTTGGATTAATAGCTTTTCTACAAAAGGCTGTTAATCTGATGCTAATTTGTTGTATCTATTTTCAATATCATTGCAAAATTGTGACTGGACACTGCACAAGGAGCCTTTTCTTTTCCACCATATAATCTCTATGTTGTTTGTGTAGTAAACAAAAATATACAGCAACTCAGCCTGCAATCAAAGCTTTATATAAAATGAAAGTAAAAGCTCCCATGGAGTTTTTCCCTTGTGAACGGTTTTCTCCAGGGAGTCTGTTCTCCTCAATTTAAGTTCCATTTATCATGTTAACATCTTCCCTGTTTTACTATCATTCTTACCCAAAACAAAAACAATTGATCTGCAACCCAGCATCCTCCCAGGATGCTTATTAATATAATTTTCTAAAATTTTTCTGAAGTGGATACCTGTTAGGTTACATAGCCTTTTAGATACTCTGTTTTTCTCTTCAAAAGAAGCCCCCCACTGAAAGGATCCTCTCGTGGTTTCTGAGTCTGGTTGTCTCTGGAGATCCTCTTCGTTTCCTGCTGAGTTCACTGCAGTGTCTTGTTTTCTTCATATTTTGATGGTGTCAGTTTGCCTACAGATAACATTCATTTAATTAATAATGTTAGACCAGTGGCAAATATCCCCTTCCTGGGCCATGCTCTGTAGTGGATGGTGGCCAGCCAGCTCCAGGAGCTCTTGGATGAGATGGGTTATCTGGATCCATTTTATTTGGGCAGCAGGCTGGAGTGGTGCCTGGCTGTGATAGTAAACTGGATGAAGGCTAACAAACTGAAGCTTTAGTCATATAAGACCGAAGTGCTGTTAGTGGGAGGTTCTTCTGACCAGATGGAAGGAATTCACCCTGTTTCAGATGAGGGTCACACCTCCCTCAAAGAAGCAGGTTTGCAGCTGGTCACTTGAGGCCCAGGGGGCTTGAGTGACAGAGTGCCTTCTAGCAGCTTCAGCTGATGGCCCAGCTATGGCCTATCTAGACAGAGATAACCTGGCTGACATAATCTATGCTCTGGTAACCTCTAAAGTAGTTCACTGCAATGCACTCTACATGGGGCTGCCCTTGAAGACTGCTCAGAAGCTGCAGCTTGTGCAAAATGCAACCGCCAGATTAATTACAGGAATCAGGCAATCGAAACATGTAGCACCAATACTGTCCCACTTGCATTGGCTACCTATATGCTTCCATGGCTGAGGTCCACATTATCTGATGGAACACCTCTTCCAACTGCAATCTACCCAGACACTATGCTCCAGGTCTGAGGCCTGCCTCCAAGTGCCACCTCCAAGGGAGGCTTGGTTGGTGGCAACAAGAAGGGTCTTTTCAGTGGTGGCCCCCAGTTATGGGAAAACTGAGGCCTGCCTGACATCAACTTGAAAATATTTTGAGCACCAGGTTAAGAAGACTTTCCTCTCGCATAGGACATTTAATTGGATTAGCATTAAGTTGGAGGTTTGTTAGTTGCTTCAACACATCTCATGAATTAACTTGTATGAGCTATTGTGGCTCTCTAAATTTGTTTTAAATTTGGTCTTAATTTTGTATGGTAACCTTATATGAAGTTTTATCACTGCCTGTATTTTATATTGTACTGTATGTGTAGTTGTAAACCACCTAGAGAGCTTTGGCTATTGGGCTGTATAGAAATAATAATAATACAGGATGCCTCTATGTATTACGTCCTGTGGATCAAAAATGCATCCTGTTTCTGCAGATTACTTGCTCTTCCTGCGTAAACACTTCATAGGACGCGGGTACTACTTCGCACCTCACCATACCTTTTGTGCATTCCTTTAGGTTTATGGCCATTGGTTGGATATTAACAGGTGCATCAGAATTTAGAGGTGCTGGCTCCTTTGCTGCCACAGAGTAAAGAGAGGTTTGCAATCTCTGACAGTTGGCTACTTCTCCTCTTGTTGAGCCAGTCCTGCTGGCCAGAGATCTCCACTCACAGACCAAGGTTTGGTTTGATGTCCTGTGAATGCCTGTGCTGGATTCGTTTGGTAACCCTGTGGTGCTGTATCAGCGTGTGCCAGGAAGGCTAACAAAGCAACCAAGTCTGGTAACTTTGTGCCACTTTTTATAGCTATTTTCACAACAGATTCCACTTTGTCATTACTTTATGGGTATGAAAGGGAGGAGATGTGGTGATCAGACTGCAGGTTCTTTGCAAATGAACAAAAGGCCTCAGATGAAAACAGGACTCATTGTCTGAAAACACTATGTCAGGAGTGCCATACCTTAAAAAATAAGCCTCCAGTTTAACAATAACTGCAGTGCTCCTGAGAGGGCATTGGCTCACAGGAATTAGAATAATAATGAAACATAAATAAATACTGTTTCTCAAATAAACAGCTCAATCTCAGTCTTTTCCCATGGTCTGATGGGTAACTCGTGTGGTAGAAATGTCTATTATCCCATGAGCGATACGTATTGTGTGCAGCCTTCTCTTAGGGATTGTAACTGCATTTCTTCTTGGGCAATAAACACGCCTTCTAACCTGCCTAGGACAGGTGTCAGTACCAAGGTGTGATGCATGTATTTGGTGTGTGACGTCTTTACATAAGGAAACTGAAACAACTTTCTCTGTCCTTGAAATACAGTCCTGTCCTATACAGAGACTCATCTTTGGAAAGAAAATATGGTTCTGCTCCATATGGTACCTTGGCCTTAGACCTTCCTTTCAGAGTTGCTTCCCCCTTGAAGTTGGATCTCTTTCTCAGTGATTGCCTTAATTTTATTGTGCTTAGTTGCCAAAATCGGGGGCTAGTCTGATGTATTGTTGGATTCAAGGTCTGAGAAGTCTTCTCCTAAGTTACTGCTGTTGGGTGTATATGCTTTGCTAAGGGTATCTGCTAACATCAGTAATCATCCTGGGCAGTATTTAAACCCAACATCAGAGTGCTGTAGGTGTATGAGCATAACTTATTATCTCCTTGTTATTCTTTCAAGTAATCTGTGGTCTAATAATGCTCTAACTCTCCCTCTTAACAAGTACACCTTTTATATTGTTATTTTTGTATTTTATTGTATTTTATTGTGTTGTAAGCCACTTCAGCAAGGGGCGGCATAGAAATGTTTTAATAAATAAACAAACAAACAAACAAACGTGGTGAGGCGGTTTGAGAGCATCAGAGAAGCCGAGACCAATGCTGCTAGAAGACGAGACTGTCTCACTGGGATGGACTCCTAGCAGAGTTGCCCAAAGCAAAATGGTCAAAGTGGAGACACCAGACTAAGGGGCACCCGTCCTCTTCAGGAGGAATGATTTTATTTAGACTATGGCATACACAGCCAGGGAGTCTACAATGTTTTTACGCATGGTAGAAGTTCTGGCAGCCATCATTTGCTAGTCTTTTTTGCACCGGTGCACCACTGGGGGCAATCTAGCTTCACACCAGCTGGCCAGCAACACTCTTGAGGAAGTCATCTCACCCGGGGCTTTTCCTCCACCATCCTCCACCAAACATGTCCAGGTAAATCCACTGGTTCCTGCTTCCACACAAACATAGCCAGCTTTTCCCACTGGAGAATGGTGGTCCCTATTTATCTACACATAGATGGTATGCTTTTGAACTGCTAGGTGGGCAGGACCTAGGGACAGGCAACAGGGGATCGCTCCATTTCGCAGGGCTGGGCTCGAACTGTCAGAGTGCCGACCGTGTCTGGTCAACCTATTAAGCCACTGAGCCACTGTGTCCCCAGGAATGGCCACATCAGCAGGAGAGAATGGATCTCTCTAATGGTGGTGGGGTGGAGAAACTCTTGAAAGGCAGCTCCCAGGTAGCAGTGGTAACTGAAGTGACACTGGCAAAGGATCTTTCTCAGACAATGGCAATGTAGGGAAAGAGCTAGACAGTTATTCTTGGCATGCTTTCCCAGGTCAAGATTGCACCAACTCTTCTGATGAGGACTGTGAAGACTGGGAGATGGTGGGAGGAGGAGGGATCAAGGGGGCAGAGGAAGGTGAGACTGCCTCGTGCCTACCACCTCCAGATCCTCAGACAGACCATGGGAACAGGCAGGGTTTGCGGGGGGGGGGGGGGCGAAGGAGAGGAGGAAGATGAGTCCATGTCCTGCCTAGTCCATGACCCCATGATGTGGCATTAGGATAGCAGAGCTACCCAGTTGTTATTATTTATTTATTTATTTATTTATTTAAAACATTTCTATGCCGCCCCATCGCAATAAGCCTCGGGGCAGCTCACAACATCAAAAAAAGTTAACCATACATTAAAACCCCAATACAATAAAACCCCAGTACCATAAAACCTCAATAAAACCTCAGTAAAACCTCAGTGCATTCTCGGCTAAAATTTAAAAAAAAAACCTAGTTAAATAAATAAATTAACAATTAAAATAAGTTTTTAATAAAAAGGTCTTAGCCTGGCGCCGAAAAACAAGTAAGTTAGAAGACTGACTTGGGCCTCGCAGGCTCACCCTTCTCCTGAGGGACCCACCCAGAAGAGCGGGGCCCAGCATTACTGAAAAGGAGGCAGTTTTGGATTCAGCTAATCACTGAGACTGGCCTTTCTGTCATAGCTTGTTAGCTGTGAATTGCAAATACAGAGCTATTTTGCAAAGAGGCTATCCATTGTTATGGAAGCATGAAATGAATACGAGGAAGCCTAGTGTGATGGTTTAATAAAGGTGTGGCCTAATTGTGGATTTTGGAAGTTTTCTTATGGCTCTTTTGCTGCTAGGAGTTCCTCAAGCACCCTAATTTCCAAAATGTTTATTTGGATGCGCTATTGTGGCACTTGCTTGTACTTTTCAAAACTTTTGTTGTGAAAGCAAAGCCATCTCTACACAAGATATTCAGCCTCCTACTTGCAAATACAGTATAAGCAACATTATTTTCTGTAGGATTTGGTGATAGGTTCTAACATTTCACCTTATAAACATGTGAGCTCTTCTGCAGACACAATGGATGTGAAAAATGCTTTGCATGCTGATACTGTGATTTCTGGTGGCTAAGCTGTGCAAAAGAGGGAATCTAAAGAAAGCCCTGATGTAACTTTATCTAGAGATAAGAACCAGAATACTGCATAAAGTACAAGCCCCGCAAGCTGTGTTGCATCCACAACACAGAAGGCATTTTCAGGACTCCCATTACAGAGGACTCTGTTTCTCTTCACTGACAATTTTCTGGGGAGGGAACAAATAGGAGTGGAATGCAGCTCACTCTAAAATTTCAGAATCAACTAATAATTAATCAAGGGACTATTTGTACACAGATGAATGTCTGCCCCATTACTTGGAACAGTTATTCTTTGTGAAAAGCAGGTATTGACTAAATGCACTTACTTTTTGTAAACTCTTAATACGTGGTTTCTGATGCAATTGATAGTTCGTAAATTATAAATTATTTGTATTATGTTTTATATTATTATTCTTATTTATGTAAGCTGTCCTGAGGCTTTTGCGAAAGGACGGCATATAAATATTCTTAATTAATTAATTAATTAATTGGTACTTTCCCTTCACAAATCTAGAAACAGAGTACAAGAGCCTTTACAGTAATTCTGCATGCTTGTTCAAGATTCGAACATGAGTTGTTCTACTGATCACAAAAATAGCCCTGGGTATGGTTTCTACCTTTTGAATTAACATAGTTAGGCAGATCCACTGAGGAACACATAGAAAGAGTTAAGTTAGCCAGGACGTGAGGCAGCCAAGGTTTTGAGCATGCTAAACTCCATTGGAGTAAATGGCATGGATAGTACAATTGTGTATCCATCTACTCAGACATAAAGTCCTTTCAGCTCAATGGGGTTTATGCCCAAGTACATCTTCATTGTCACCTGCTGAGCTTTAAATTTTGTCTGGATTGTGCCTCCAATTTTAAGCACTGCTCCCCATCTTTATTTTGCTGGCATAATCCATACAATATGCACATGAATAAAATGTGAGGCATACTTGTTCAGTGTCTTGTTAAGTGTGCAACAAAAATCACGTCCCAGGCAGTATCTGGTTTCCCACTCCTAGCACTGTCCATCCAGTGGGAGCACTTTAGCATGAGGAGGCCTGTAGCCTTTATGGCATTGCCTGGAGCTTACACTACTGGTGCTTGCTGGCTTGCTTCTACTGCAATTAATATACATGGCATTTTTCAAAGTAACCTAAAAAGTAACCTAAGATATGCAGTTCTCTGTCCCAGGTAGTTTATAATTTAAATGTTAACAGTAGGGAGCAAAGAGAAAGGTCAGGATAGCAAAAGAGTAACAAGGTCAGAGGGTTTCCTAATAAAGTCTCTCCTCCTTACTATCTCAAATTGTTTCCTGGTCTGTGTGCAAATGTGTGTCTGTATATGCACACGCACACACCCATATAGTCCATGTGCCTCTTGGCAAGAGCAGCACTCAGCTAATCTCCATGTTAACATCTGCTGGCAGCTTCATGTGAAGCTGACACCTGTCATGGAGATATCAGTGCCAGCTTCCTAAACAGGCCTCTCTTTAAACCCTTCCAGCCTTGTGGCAAATGAAATGAGGCCTCCCTCCCTTATCTGCAGCTCTAGAGCTCTTGCAGGGGGACCTGAGGTGTGGGAAGGTGGCTTTATCGCATCAAGTGACAAACAGCCTTGGCTAAACAAGCTACTGGGATGAGGACACGCTGGGACCACGCAGTTGCAGCAGGAGAGAAGCAGTGGGATTGAGCGGGGAACTAAATAGGGAACCCCCTCCCCACCTTAAATCCACAGCAGTCCTCCACCCTTCCACTTACACTCTACAGTCATTTCCTCCCAAATACTGGTCTGGTTCTTCTTCACTTGCCAGTATGCACTCACCTTAAATGAAGCAATTTCATATATTTCCGTTCCCTTTTCTCAGTGCAGAACAGGCTCTGCTTTCCCTGACCATTGTCTGCTACAGCTTCTAGTTATCTTGTATAACCAAAATGAAATTCCTCACAACTCTGCTGCATCTTACCCTAACATTGGCAGCCTGTCTTCCTTAAGCAGGTTGTTTGTATTTGCTAGTGGGAAACAGAAATAAAAGAGAAAGATTTTTTCTCCCTCTCTCACAATACTGGAATGTGAGGTCACCCCAGAAAGCTGCTTGGTGGGAGATTCAGGACAGATAAAATGAAGTACTTCTTCACAAAGTACAAAGCTAAACTGTGGAGTTTACTTCCAAAAGATATAGTGATGATCAACAGTGTGGAAGGCTGTAAAAAGAGATTGGATCAATTAATGGTGATTAATTAATTAATCTTGATCGGTGGCAAGATGCCAATTTATACCGGCTGCTGAGGAACTGGCTACTCATGACCTCCTGGTGAGTTCTGCTGAGCAGCAGGAGGGCCATTGTGTGAGCCCAAGGCTAGGCTAGATGGATGGACCCTTGTTCAGATTCAGCATGGCTTTTCTTATGTTCTTACTGCCAAAATCAATCCCAGCTTTCAGTATATTTTCCCCAGTCCTCCCCATTACACTGCAGAATGTTCTGTTTCTGTTCCAGCATGTAGCAAAGTTGATGTTCCTTGAATGCTCTAAGGCAGTGTTGAGGGACTCATGGACTTCTGGATGTTGTTGGATTCCTATCCACTTTTCTTAATATTTGGTTCCAACTACTCTGAATTCACCTGCTCCATTTCATTTCTGTCTATGGGCAGTAGCTAGAATATTGGAGAAATCTGTAACAGATGAGTTTGAATTTCTCAAAATTTTACCTGTGGATTCTACAGCAGATCAGCTTTTCCTGAGAGGCATGGATTTAGCAGAATTGCAGGCGTTTTAAATATGTGTTTGTGTGTGTGCGCGCACATGCATGTGTGCATGCGTGTATTTCTAAGACAAATTTTGTCTTAGAAAAGCCAGCATATTCAAACCTGAAAACTTGCTTCTTTTGAATCTTCCTTGATAAATGAATTATAAAGCCATTATAAATAAGTGTCCAAAATGTGTTGGGTTAATAAATATTTGTCGTGTTTAACCCATTGCTTTCTACATATGGTGAGAGTGAGGCCTGCAATCGATAAGCACTAAGCATGAACTAACCCTAAAAGACTTCCATGGGAGGCACACATGGTTTGTTTTCTGACATTTGAGCAAATGTGGAAATTGTCTGTTGAAGAGGAAGAATGGAAAACCACTGCACTGACCCTCTCACAGTAGCAGCAGACACCAAAGGAACTGACATCACCTGGATTGTGACCGTCAAGCCTCCAGACTGACTAGTGATCCTGGCAATATTCTCTGGACACAAGATGCAAGCTTCATAAACGGCATCTGAAAAGAAGAGGAGAGCACTATAAGCCCCAATTATTCCCAGGCCAAAATTAAGGAACAATCGAGAGCATCTCGCTGTGCATCTCTGCCTGCTCAACAGCCTCTCTCCCACCCTCAAAACATACTTTACCTGGCAGTACCAAGCAGGAGCAGAAGTGGTAGATAGGCTTGCCCTTTTTCCTCCTTACCTTTTAATCTCCCCCTTATATTTGGTAAAACTATCAGGGGTTAGGATGCTCATTTATGAATTTCCAGAAAAGGGAGAATGTATTACAAAAAATAGGTCATTTTCCATAAAAAGTGCATATGCTGTGTTCCATATAATGCTGATGAAAGTTTAAATATAATTATCATTATTTAGGTAGGAATGCAGTACATCTCAACATTGTATATCCGTAGACGGCTTCTGACCAGATGACCTGCATGCCTGCCGAATCTGTTGTCCTGGTGCAACTTCAAGGGCCCTGTGCTCCCCTCTCGGCTGGCTCTTTATGCTGTAACCAGACCTGGACAGGATAGCCCTTCAAACAGAGGAGGTCTCTGCTGCTGCCATTTGAACTGCTGTGATTCTTCCTTTTGGGAATGGGAAACAAGGACAGGCCTTCTTCTTCTCCTCCCTGTACCTGCTGCTGCTTCTGTTCTTGAAACTGCTTCTCACTGCCAGGGAAAGGAAGAGGAGATTTTCCTTTTTGGAGCATGGAACCCTGGTTGGCAGGGGCTCCATTCTTCCAAGTCTTCAGATTGGCTCAGGAAACTTTTTTCCAGGCTTTTCATTTTTTCCCCCTGAGATATGTGGAAAATTGATAAGCCTGTCAAAGAAGAGCTTCTGAAACATTGCTCATCTCCACCATAGGACAAATACCCATGAGAGAAAGTCACAGATAAGTGTTCTGAGATTTTAATTTGTTCTCTTCAAAATTAAATGGAAAGACCAGCATGTGGTATGGCAGAGAGAGAGAATGAAAGTTTTTCAACTTTTCCCCCTTTGGAGGTTTCACTCCCCCTAGCAACTTTTCCTCACCCAAAGAAAATCCATTACCTGCCCCTGTATGAGCTCTACATATTGTGAAAGGGAAAAAAACACCTCTAAAGGAAAAGCTGAATTCTGGGTTCAGACAACATGGGAACCCATGCTCAATGGCTGGGTGTTCATTGTTGAAGAATGTGGGTTATCCTATTGTCTGAACCCTGCCAAGGCAGCAACCCAGCCACAAGCCATGGGACCTCTTCATGGTTTATTTGGAATGAACAAGTCTTGGGTTGTTAGTCAAGCTGTGTTCAGACAACAGGATAACCCACATTCAACAACAAGTCACACTCAGCCCTTATTACCTTGTCTTCCTAACCCAGTTGCTATATGCAACTCCATGTCCCATTAGTCAGGCTGTTGACTCACCAAAGTGTGCTGTGTACAGCAGAAAGCAGCATTTCTGAAGCCTTCTCTTATCCTATGTCTCTAGAAATGTGGAACAGGGCTAGGAGGAGCGTAGCTATGAGAGAGGGAAGCCATTGAGTTCTGGCAGGCCCCAGAGTTCATCATAAAAGAACAATAAGAGAAGTGTTTTGTGACTTTTTCAAACAACAACAACATCCTAAAGAGTTCATCCTAAAGCAACAATAAGACAAGTGTTCTGTGACTTTTTCAAGCAATAACAAAAGTTTCCAAATGTCACTTCCAGTTCAGCAGATTTAGGCTTTTAAAAGAATTCCCACCAAATTTTATGTCAACTATTTTAAGGAATGGTTTAAAATTAAAAACCTTTTACTAAGTTTAAACTTAACTTTCCCAAGAGGCCTGCAATGTTTAAAAACACTTTTGCCATTTGAAAGAGTTCAAAATAACATTCCAGAAGGGATCTTTTAAAAGACATCCCTGTGACGAGCTTGCTCTCTGGGCAGGCTAACATTTAATGCATAACATTTGTTTCTCATTTAGCTGTAAAACAGGCTCTGAACTTGCAGTCTCATAATTAAATGGAATTAAGAGAAGCTGCTGAGCATTTAGAGAGTGGTGAAGGAATGATATTGCTGGAGATCCAATACAGTAGCTCAGGCCTTGGGACGAGAGAACACGCAATTGCAAGGCATGTTTTTCGAAGAATCACTTCACTTGTGACATTGTTTTCCACACAGATGAATGTTCTGCATGGGTAAAAGTGTGTAGCCAACCAGGTATGATGCATCTATGAAGCTGCCTTGTGCTGCATCAGGCTGCTGGTCTCTCCAACCCTACTGTCTGCTTTAACTGGCAGCAGCTACCGTGCTCCTCAGACAAACACCTTCCCCATAACTGATCCTTGTATCTGGAAATGCTGCAGATGAATTTGGCACCTTCTGCATATTAGCATGCGCTCGCTCAACCTCTGTGCTTCCCTGGTGATGTATATTTTCCCCTGACAACATGGATTAAGAAGCTGCAGCAACACATCAACAACAACCGGATTCTTTTCTCCTTTAAAAAGAGGAAGAGAGTGACAAAGGAGGCCCCTCACTCTCTTGAGCGCCTTCTCCCCCGGTACTTGTGATTCTGTGAAGACTAACTGGATTAAATGGGCTTTGTTTTTAGAGCAGCTTAAATGGTACTACTTCCAAGCCAACTAAACCGGGGTGAGCAATTTACAGCCATCCATGTATTATTAGACTGCAGTTCCCATGAGCCTTCTCCTTTGGCTATGCTGGTAGGACTGATAGGAGTTGTAGCCCAACAATATCTGGCAGGCCACACATTCCTAATCCCTCTAAACAATCCTATGAGCTATAACTGGGGGATGGTGCTGGGAAATTTTTGTTAGACAGCTCTAGACCAGCCTTCCCCAACCTGGTGGCCTTCAGAGGCATTTGGATTGCGACTCCCAGAATTCCCATCCAGCAGGGCCATTGACTGGGAATTCTGGGTGTTGCAGTCCAAGTGTGTCTGCAAGGCACAAGGTTGGGAAGGCTTCTCTAGACCCTCCAATGGAACTTCGGATCCCAGAGCTCCCTGTGGTCATAGACATAAGTAAACCGGCTTAAGGTTGCAATCATACACACATATTGAATGAAGCTAGATTACCTGTAAGTAAACATGCACAGGGTCATTAATGATCAGGGAGAATTTTGCTCATGTGACTTACCTTGCATGCACAGCTGCTTATTTATTACCAGTTGTAAGGGAGGAAAACTACTCTGATCTCCGTTAAATGGTTTTATTTCAAATAAGGTAGTTTTCAACAAACACAGTTGTCCCACAACCACCCAAGCTTTGAATGCTTTTGAGAAATTCATGACACAAGATTAAGCTTTTGTTTTGCAAGTTTATTCCATTCTAATGAGTATGCAGTCATTTCAGAGGTACTTCTCTTGGTTTGGAGCTTGACTTTGGGCTTTAAAGATAGCTAATTTCTCTTTGAGGAAAGATATGGGTTGTATTGCCCTTAAGGAGGCAGAAGTTAGACTTCTGCTGAAAAAAGTCACATTTGGATCCTATGATGCTTCCCCTACAGTGTCCGTTACAGGAAAGAGGGGACTTCTCAACTGCAGAAAGTACTCCTAGTCTTTCTGGCTAGTTTGGGGACAGAATCAGGCTTGGTTGTGCCAGGACAGGGACAGTGAGAGTGCATCCCTGTTGTTTCTCCTGGTCCTTTCAGCAGCTTTGGATACCATCAACCATAGTTTCCTTCTGGGTTGTCTTGCAGGGTTAGGACTGGGAGGCATGATGTGATGGAGGCTCTGGTATTTTCTTGATGGACAGATGCAGAAACTGATGCTGGAAGACTTCTGTTCAACCTAATGACCACTGGCATACAGGAAATCTCACCGTTCCCTCTTTCTCCCATTCTTAACACTTACATGAACCCACTGGAAGAAGGTGTTTGGAGGCATTTGGGGAATGGAAGTGGGCAAACAAGTTCAAGCTTAATCCAGACACTGGGCATTCCTAACCTGTTTCCAAAGCTGATGATATGGATAGAGGTTTTCAACTATTTTGGATGGAGGGCACTCCTGTGAAAGACTGAGCTGTCATCTTGGACGTTCTGCTAGACTTCGCAGTATTTGTACTGATGCAGTGGCATTAGTAGTGAGGAGCACCTTTTGCCACCTGAATTGGTTCAGCAGTTGTGATTCTATCTAGAGAAAACCAACCACGCTCCAGTTGCATGCAGACTCAACCACTGCAACACATCCTATGTGAGGCTGGCCCAGAGACTTGGGCTTGTAGAGAAATGGGGCTCAAAGGTTTACCATCAAGAGCCAAGACTGGAGACAGGCCCTTTTTGTAGTAACCTCCAAGCTCTAGTACTCCTTCCCAGAGTACGTCTATATGGCATCATCTTTATTAATTTTTAAATGAGCCTTGAAAATATTTTTTCAATCTTCTTTGTGTTAACTGTGCTGTGAGCTGGACTATATATTATTATAACTGTTGCTTTTTTAGTTTTGTGATTGTTCCTATGTTTATTTTCAGAATGGCCTTATGTTTTATGAAAGTTGCATTGGGAGGGCTCTTCCCTGAAAGGCAGCATATAAATCCTGCATAAAACAAATAAACAAGCAAACAAGCAAACCTATGTACTGAAATACTCAAGCCACCCACCCTGGAAAGTACATGTAATTTCATGCTGATGTTCAGCACGTGTACCTTACGTGTCCTTGGAGGTGAAACCAAAAATGGAAACTACAATACAGTTCTCTTGCCTTAAAACTTCTACAGGAAGAAGCTCAGGGATAAGGGAATCAGATCCTCACTGTAGCAGCAGTAGGGAGGAGAGTTTTATAAAAGCTTTTCCTATCAGGAAAAGGTTTTATAATTTTCTCACAAAGTATTATTTGCTCCAATGATAAAGCACACCTCTATAATTTCTATATGGCCTCTCTCCTACCTTACCGCAGCCTGGAGAAATCTGCAAGGATGCAAAAAAACTTCAGATTTCCTTGAATCTAACCTGTGGATTTCACAGTAAACTGACTTTTTCCAAGTCATGAAGATGCTGCACACTTGTGACCCAATTTATAACCGGATGGGCACTTGCAGTAATGTACATCAGCACTAACATTCATTTGCACCAGTGAAACCGAACCTCCCTGGAATAAAAATCCAATTCTGTGGGTGAAAAAAGAAAGGAAGATGCCTGGCACTCTGTCAAACAAGAAGGAATGGCTTTCACAAAATCTGTCAGCCCGTACTCACACCTGCTTCCCCCCACTAGCCCATTGTTACCAGATGCTTCATGACTCGACAGACTTCTGAGTGAGGGAAAAGCTGCAGCACGGATATCCCCTTCCTTACTGCTGAGCTGCAGGGCAAGGGCCGACAAGAGCCCAGGCTGGGCCAGCTTTCAACAGGGCGTCTGGTGCAACGTGTGGCACGCTGCTTTCGGTGCCTGCCTTGGCTACTGCCTCCACTGTGAACCTCATCTTCTGTAGCCTTGTTTGGCTCGCAACTCCGGTTTCAGCTCTGAGCCAGGTTCTTGACATTCACCAACAGCATTGTGCCCAATGGATGGCTTCCAAGAACAAAACAGTTCCTCCCTCTTTCCCTCTGTATGTCTTCATGGAAAAAACGTTCATGGGTTTTTGTATTTTTTTCTTTTTGTGGCGGGGGAACTAAGCTTGCAATGAGAGAGAGTTTTATTAGGAGACTTGCAAGAGGCCTTTAAATAACTCCATGGTTCAGGATAATGAAATTACCTGCACTAACCCCACAGGGAAAGCCATCCAATAGTTCTCCCAATCCTCCCTCCCTCCCTTTCTTTCTTCTGCCTCTGAAAAATGGTTTGTTTATTTGATTTAGTTTATAATTTTCTAATTTCTTCTTCAGTTGTGAGCACTGCTTTTGAAAATCACTTATTCAGCACATTCTACAACTCTAGAAATAATTTTCGGTCTCACTCAGAGTTAAATGAAATTCGTTAGCTATTTCAACATCATGTAACAGATTAGTCTTTTATAAGTAAAATGTGTATCTCTTGAGAATATGATCCTTTCCATGGAAACTCAGAAATAAGAGCCCATAAGCACCCATGGGACTGTAGGTGCTTTGGGGTAGGGGCCTCCTAAAGTTACCATTGGAAAGCACTGTGTAGCTATTTTGTCTGTCTTCATGGACTTTTCACAGTAAGAGAAACAATGGAAGAAGCCATGGGAAAATGCAGAAAGGTTATGAGCTGCGGATGTTGACATCTGGACCCCTCTAACATATTGCTAATCAGGCAAGGCAATGGCACCAAAAAAGTCTTGTTTCAACGCACCCTTGTGCCTGGGTAAAAGGACGTAGGATTGCTACCTAAGCTGCATTTTGGTGCCACTTGTTTTAATTCCTTATTGCTATACAACTGTAATTTTTAGTATTTTGTATGTAAACTGGTGGCAGAAGAATCCTGCATTCCCAGGAAGAAACATCCAAGGGACCATAGGATAGAGAAGATTCCCCCTGCTGAGGAACTACAACTCTGGAAGAGGAATCTGAATGGGATTTTCCACCCCTCCCAGCCATAGAAAGCAGCATGGTAGCTTCTGAGGATGCAATTGTGTCTTTGGGAAAGGCCAAAAGGGGATGCCAACAGGAAGGGAACAGAGAGGATGTGGAAATGCAGCATCAACAAGCCTCTTCAGCTCCCTGCTCCCACTGTTCTGTTTATACAGCATCACTTTCTCAGGATTCAAATTTGGGTCCAAGTTGAAGCAGATGACCTCTGATTTGGTCCAAAACAAATCAGGCTGTTTTCCAAATCACTGAGTTGGGTTCCAGACTGTATCCTGTGATACAGATACATCCCTACTATTTATATATGCCTTTGGAAAATTGACCCATTGTAATTAATGGGTCAGTTTTAACATCAGGATGGGCCAATTTGTAAATATCCGGTGATGGGTTGGTTGGTTGGTTGGTTGGTTGGTTGTTCACAGAAGAGCTCATGGTACGGCTGGCAGAAGATGAGGCTCACCATGGGTTGTCCCCACTGCTGCCCCTCAGTTTTCCAGTTGATATCCCAGCGGACATGGTGGGATACCTTGTCTCCTTTCTCCTCTACAATTGTGAGCCTTTTTGGCTGGTACAGGCTTTTTCATGTTTTACCATTTTATCTCAGAGATCACTTTTCACAATCTTCAAGTTGAACGGCACTGGGAACCCTTCCAGAGTACACAAGCGGCACAAGAAGAAATAGCCATCTGAGTGGAATGGGGTAACGTGGTGTCCTGAAACAGCAGGGGGTTGGACCTGATGACCTTCATGGCCCCTTCGAACTCTACTGTGCTATGATTCTAAGTGGAACATTGGAATGTTACTGGGTCATTCAGGGTTTTTAACAGAGATGTATGCATATGTATATGCATGTGCCAAGGGCCATTTAGTCTCTTACTAAACTTCTAGCAGTACCCAGGCATTTGTCCCTAGAACTCACAAACAGGGCATGGCAGAGATGACAGTCTTGAGTTTTTGTGTACAACGAGCATACTTTTTATGGGATCCAAAGAGCTACAAGTGCCTTGGGGCATGTTCTTTATTTCTGTGAACCCCTGTGCTGTATCAGAAACTGTTTTTGAAACTCCAATGGGTTTGAAAAACAATTTGACATATGGCGTGGTGAGCTGTACTTGAAGAAACGCATGTCCAAATCAGCCTGTGGTTCTCTGGATCCTGGCCATGAGCATACTCAAGGCAGTGAAACACACTCCAAACAAAACCAGGGAAAGGGAATATATACAGAGAATAGGCTGCAGTAATTAAAGACCCATGCAACAATAATCAATAAGAAACCTTATTTTTGTATCAATTTCAAAATAAATCCATTATTCGTGGGGAATCGGAGTTTTTCAACACTGCACTGAGATGATCAGGATTCTTAAATGTTATGCAGAAAGCTAAAGTAAAGGAAAGCCCTCACTAATTGCAAACCTGAAGGACTAGGAATGCTGTGAATGACTTCCCCTGGGTTATCTCAGGTTTCTGGTGTTGACAGTAGCCGTGATTTCATGCTATCACTAGAAATGGTGCCCGGAATCTCTTGGCAGCAGCAAGAGTGTTTGGTACAAAGATCAATGTTGGTAACCTTTCTAATTTTGATGGGAAGGCCGGATATTTGTTCTCTTCTGCTGCTGAAATAGGAAGAGGTTCACCAACTTCACTCTCTAAATCAGGATACCGAGAAAGAGCGAGAAAGGATGCTGGGAAGGCAATCACCATATTCTATGCTGGGAAAGCCAAAGCCCTGGAAGCCTTATCTTTTACACAAAAAACATCAATATCTGTGCAGTAGATGAGAAACTGATATGGGTGTGGGAAAAGAAATCCTACAGAGAGACATTTGAAGCCATGTCCATTGAAGTGGGAGAAAAGTTTCTGGAGAAGACGTGGAGGCTGAGATGTTTTGAGCAACCGAAGTAGCAAGGAAATAGTAGCTCCCCAATGCCTCCCCCCCACATGTCTTTCTATAGTTATTCAGTATATTCTATGCAGCGAGTATAGCATTTGACAGTGTTAAATATAGGAAAGACAGGTTAGTGTTGTTGCAAATGTGTCAATTTCCAACATTCCCAAATTTTGCAGGTTGTAAGTCCCAAATATATAAGCACATTTTAAGTCAGCAAGGTGTACATTAACTTATCTCCAGATAATGCTGAAGACTTTACAGATGTTTTAGAGATTTGGGCATTTGAAAAGGAGTGTGAAGATGTAGTGGGACTAAATATTCATAGAGATAAGTTCCTTATGGAATTGATTTTTAAAAATATAACCCACCAGGAGCAGCAGCCTCTCCAACAAATGAATGGCTTCCTCAATTTGGAAGTTAACCCAAGTCAGGTGGAGGAGCTTCTATGAGTCAAGTCCTTCCTTTTACAGAAGGCAGATCCTTTCTTTTGTTCCTTCCTTCCTTCCTTCCATTACAGATCGATTTTAAGGAAGAAAAGGTGGAATAGCTAAATAATGGATACTTCCAATCCAGATAAAGGACTTTTAGAGCAAGCCACCAGAAAGCATTGTGGAGCAATTCCATGTTTTTCTCCTTACTCTGGTAAGGATTACCCTTTGTAAATGACCGGGAATGAGACCAGACAATTGTGTTTTATGTGTGGAAACATTTTATCTACCTGTGGCATTTTGCTCAACAGTATTTTACTCAGCAAGTTATTTTCATTGAATGAGATGCTAACTTGTTAAGCAAAAGAATTGATTTACTACCTTGATTTTAGTTCAAGGGTGTAATTTGCAATTATAGTTTGGTGTAGTGGTTATGACCCTGCACTGAGACTCAGGAGATCTGGCTTCTGGTCCTCACTCAATCAGGAAATACATTGGGTAACTTTGGGTCAGTCACTGACTCTCAGGTTGTCCTACCTTGCAAGGTTGTTGTTGTGTAGATAAAATAGATAGGAGGAGCACTTTCTAAGCCACTTTGAGTTCCTTGCAAGAGGGAAAAAAGTGGGATATAAATGTAATGTCAAATTAGAGTTATTTGTTATGTTCTTTGGAATATTTTGAAATAAGCAGTAAACTTTCAAAAATACAAAAAGGTAATAACATCTGGCAACCTTAATTGTAAGATACATGCTATCTGATGCAGGAACCCTATAAACCTATGAGACAGCCTGGTATCTTACAGCCAGATACAGAACATTACTTGTACACACTGTGTGATGGATAATTGCATCTGATGGATTTATCACTTCAGTAAAAAGTTCTGCTGCATAGCCCAAGACTAGTTTGAGCCATAAGAGGAATAAAGACTAGAACAGTGTCTCTGGAGTGATTGAAGGAGTAAATAATCTCCCTTCCTTTCCTTCCCTTCCCTTCCCTTCCCTTCCCTCTGTGTTTCACATGCTTATGAGGACAATCCGGTCATTTGAATTCACCTGATGATTCAGGGTTCAGCCAAATAAAAAGAACAAGGAGTTTTACCTCTTCTCTCACATGCAGCAATAATGTCTCTTCTAAAATGATGCCTAGCTGTGATGCATGCATCATCTTAAAATTAAAAAAGTATGCTTTTTGCTTCAGAATTTCTGCTTTTACTCATGTACAAGTGAATCAGTGTTTAAACGATGGATGACTTGAGTAACCAACTAGAACTGGAATCAACTAGAAAATTAACCGATTTTTGCTTTGGAACATGTATGATTAATCCAACTAAGAATTCTTTAATTAGGTGAGAGTTCTAGTTTGCATATTCATGATGATCTGTTAGGGATATAAGGGTTAGTCTTCAGAGGAAGCAGGGATTCAAAGTAGATGCCCTTGTAAAAGCTCCTTTCATCCCAGCAGGGACATGGGAGTGGGACAGTCAGCCTTTAGTGTTTGTTCTAGTGAGGCAATGAGGGAAAATGATGATGTGGGACAAAGCAGTGTCAGGAAGAGAGGACAAGAAAGACTTGTGGTGCCTCATTAACTTCTTAACATTTA